GGGATTAGCAAGTTTAGCAATCCAGTTTAGCATCAGCCTTCAACAGCCAGCCTTCAACAGCCAGCATTCACACCGCAATTTCTCCAGAAAGAAATACAATGGTTGTTACAAAATAAAGGAAACAACCCATTTTATTACTCACCCACAAATTTGTATTTTACAGCCTTCTGACCCAAATCAAGATTCTGTATTTTAATGAAACAAAATGTGTAAACAAAGCGTCTGATTTGTTATTTGCAGCCACATATTTGATTGGAAATGAGCAAGCTAATGAGTCTCAGCTACATACATTCACAATACTAAAGTAAATATCAAATTGATTGATATACACGCAAATTATAAATGATGTATATCAGCATTTTTATCGGTTAGTCAATCTTGATAGTGGTAATGTTGTATGTAATAAATCACTCAGTCATACAATTAGAATAAGTTCTTAAGAGAAAAATGTATTTATTTTGTGGTTTGTTTTTTATTACATCACAAACACAACAAATCATTAATTAATATAATATCAATCAAGTACAGAAGTTTATTTATGCATAGAGAAGGAGGAGAATGTGCAGTATGTTATTGGTATTTTACACGGTGAAAGCAAAAAGATATGGAATCAGCCAAGAGTGTACCATAATTATTTTATTTTATTTATTTTTTTAAAAAGCGTTGTCTCACAGATAAAGAATAATGATTTGGTGCAACTTAAATCATTCCAGTTTTTTAAATCTTGTTGTATGGAAATCTCAGCACAGTTTTCACTTGTTTTTTCTCCTTTATTATCCGGCTGTCCAGTTCTCCAGTACCTGGGGATGAACAACAACTTTAACCATTGCTAAAAATTAGACATCAAAACTGTTGACATCTATGAGTTTTACTTCCAATTGAGAGCATGCTATTCTGATGGCCCACATAATCAACAGAACATTGAATGGAAACAACCACAGAAAGCTCAGGTGTCTGCACAATATGCTCAATATCACACAGTTTCACTGTGGGCAGAACTTGCATACACATCAATTCTTCGTTGTCAGTATATAAAACACAGATCTAATATCTTCATCATCTGTGTTCTTTAATCTTTGAATTCAGACTTTGTCTCCTGAGCCGTTGTTGGGAACTGTGGGCTTTATTGTAAATTGATCAATTAATTAAGAAGGCGCATTTTGAATATAACACAGAGACAGTCAATAAATCAGATTTTACAAAATGTCTTACGTTTCGGTGACTCTTGTTCCATTTACCCATTTCCAATCTCCTTCGGTCTCTTCATCAGTCAGACCAATCCAGGTCTCCAGGCCAAATGAGCTCATAAATCTCTACAAAGAGACATTTGTGGCAGTTATAGTCAGTTATATCTCACTTTTTCTTTTCTGTCCTTTCAAAGAGATTAGGTACACCAAAAGAGCCCCCCCAACCCTTCGGACATGTCACAGGAAAAAAACACAGGTGTAAATAATGAAATGAATGATGGCTGCTTCAGTTTTAGGGTCCTAGTATTGATCATGCTGTCACACTTTCTCGGCTTATTTGCTCACTTGTTTCCTACAATAACCCAAGAGGAATTCCGCCATTTTGGGGTTAGTAGGTGCAATTGTAGGCCATTTTCCGCCATTTATAGGCTCTGTATTTTAACAATCTCCTCCTTGAGAATTATTTGGATTGACTTTCACAGAAAACACTGATGAAAATGCATGCTAACTGTGAGTTTTTTGAGGGCAGTGTCCATGGCGCTGAATTTTGATGTTTTGCCATGAAACAGGAAATTGTTGTAACTAGAGTGTACATGGAGATGTTCATGCTGTGGTCCACACTTGACATACTGGTACTGGTAACTGCACCACGGATACGGCACATCACAAAGTCGGCCTCGTTCATTACTGCTTGCTGCTTTCATTTTCCTCTTCCATTTTTTAATTTTTTTCAACCATGTTTAAAATCACAGGAACTGAACATATGTTTCTTAATCCATTATTGAAAAAATAGGTTTACTTTACTCCTGTGTTTGAAAACATGTCTGAAGATATTAAAATAGTAGGCTACTCAGTCAACAACAATTGGTTCAAGAGATAGAAAAAAAAATTGTCCACTCACCTGTTCCTCAATACTGGATATGATCACCAGTTCTGCATTAACATTTTTACAGATCTTTCTGCTGTCATTCCAGTTTTTCTTTTCGGTGGAAATTAGATAACAACTATTTCCAAACTTTTCCCAGTTGTTAGGACAGCATGGAGTCTCTGTTTAATGACACAAAATGGCATATATCCCCATGACAACATAAAAGACACAACACAATCCAGAACATCAAGCAGAAATACCACTTGTAGCCTATATGCTGTAGGCTACTCGATGTTGCAGACCAGCGCGTCTTTCCAAATTAGTTAAAAAAACTATCAATATCTAAACAGCGGCTTAAAAGAAAAACCTGGGAAATATGCTGATTGACTTTAATTCTGAGAGTTAGATGATAGGTTGTGCAAAAGTCCAAGAGTAAAAATGTCAGCCGTTTTAGGGAAGCTATGGTTGCCTAGCAACTGCTCCCAGTCAAGAAATAGTGCATTACATAACACCTCAATTTACAATTTGATTTTTGTACAAATCAAACAAATGCTATTGTATTTAAATTAGTGAGCTTAAGCGTTACTCAGAGATGGGCTAGCTGTTTCCCCAGTTCTGGGCTTTCCAGTTTCCAGTGATAAGCTATCCAGCACAGCTATATATTTACCGTACATCCATGAGAATGGCATCGATCCTCTCACCTCATTCTTAATTCTAAAAAGTGAATAAGTGTAATTTCCAAAATGTCTATTCTTTTAATTAAACATCACTCACCAAGCTTTGTTTGTAATTCAGCTCTCTCTTTGGTGAGGTTGGTGTTAATGGCCTGCAGAAGCTTTTTCTCATTCTCTAACTGGCTTATATTTTGGGTCAGGAAGTGATTAAGACTTTCCATTTCACTGTAACGCCGCTGTAGTTTGTGTCTTTCGCTTGTCAGGTTGGCATTGTCCATCCACAGTTGATTTCTCTCCATGTTCCAGTTGCTTTTGTCTTGAATCACTGCCACAGAATCAAACATAAAAGCTCAAAGGTCACTTGTATCACATACTGTATATAATCTCTATGAATTTGGAAGACTTACATTGGACCATCAGGACAATCACTGCAATCTGGAGGAGAAGACACAGCAGCAGCAGAAACACTGCAACAGCTCTGAAAAGATTCCTTTGTCCTGAACTTACATTGACTGAAGTGGCTGAGGACACAAATAAACACTGCTGATTTAATAGAGTTAATAAAAATAAAAGTTCTGCTTCATTAAAAGTATGCTACATTCTATTAACGTTGCATTTGACTTAAAGCAGTCTGTGATTGTACATTCACAGTTTTGATGTAACAAATATGAATATGATGACAATGTCTGATTTTTTAAAATTGTAATTCATACGAAAACAAAAAGCCTCTATGTAAAATGTAATGTAATGTTTTCCCCAACATATATAAGTAATCTTAAATACAGTATCCCGTCTATGTAGGACATATAGGACATATGAGACAGGCAGATAGATGCAGACAGACAGACTTTTCTGTTGGTTCCCGGTAGTGTTGTCCTGTGATTCCAGCGGCGTACTGCCCTCTGCCCAGTTGTTGTGATTAATCCTCACATTACTGCTGTTATCATAGAGTTCTGTGTTTCTGTCTTCCTTCTCACCTGTCTGAAATCTAACTTTTCTGATGAGGTCTGGCTTGGTATAGAGACCCTCAGCCATACTGCTTTCTTACTTTACCTAATTGTTCTCTGTTCTCTGTTTTGCTTGGATCACAGTATGTTGGCATTTATATCAGCAAACTGCAGCCCTAGGGAATAGGGAAGTAATTAGAGGTCACTTTGCATCAGGTTTAAATAAAAAGGGAAGAAAATAGAGGAGGAAGAAAATAACTGAAGTAAACTTGGAAGAGAAGATGTCCTGTCATAAATCATCGTAATTTAAAGCCCCACAGTTTCACCAGATTTACACTTATATTTACTCTAACTACTACTTATATTGTGGTAGTACATTTCTTAGTCAGTATCCATCTATCTATGAGTAATGCATCATTATCTATACTGTGAAGGTTGTTTCCTTTTCTGTTTTATTTAAGCAGTACTGTTACAACAGAAACTGTGGTCATTCAATTTACACAGGACAATGATAAACTTGACACATGGTAAGTGTGCCAAAGTTTGGGAAGTACCTGTCTTTTTTCTTTCTTTCTTGCTATTCTACCACCACTACATGTATTTCAGTATTAATTTATTCATTCTGAGCAATGACAGCTGAAGTATAAGATTTCAGAGATTTTGCCACTCTAAACAAAATGTAAAGCACAATCATGCAGCTGCAGCGAATAAAATAATTAATCCCACAGTTTCCTGTTGAGTAGAGAATCACATGTGAACAATGTGCTGTGCTCTGTTTTACAATGGTTGTTAGTTTATTGTTTGATAGTACCTGAAAATTATAAAGTAAGACTATTGATGGCTGCCAACTTCCTCACACCTAAACGACAAAATGGGTAGATTTTCAAGTATCCCAAAAAGACCATTGTCCATTGGAAAGTGTGAACAAGACCTCTGTGGATCTGCTGGTTCTGAAAGTAAAATGGTGAGGGGCTGGATGGCTGGGATGTTGTTCTTTATGTGCTGAAGAACCACTTTCTCAAAGCACTTCAGAATAGAGGTGAGAGCCACAGGGCAGTAGTTGTTCAGACTAGACACTGCAGACTTTTTAGACTTTTGGAACCTGCTGTATATTTATGTGTGCACACGTTTGAGCAGTAATGAGTTTACAGAACTAACCAAAATGGAAAGCACCTCCATACACATGCAACAAAAGACTGGAAAGGTCATCTCATCAGCTCAGTTTCCTTTTAAGTACAGTCACATGTGTGAATGTACTGCTGTCTTCCTGCCACTGTCTATTTAGGACAGTCCAGAACTAGTAGTCTATCATTTCAGAAGCACACTCTCCAGACTTAGGACCAAACTGAACTGTCAGTACAGCTGAACATCATGGATCAACTGGATATCTATGCTAATGTAGAGAGACCATCAGCAAATCCTGGCAAAAAGAAGAGTTTAGAAATTTTTTCAGAAAGTATTTATTCAAATAAAGACAACATCCACACTCAGCCAAACAGAACTGGACCTGCAATCTCAGGTAATGAACACATACAAACAGGTTAACATGTGTACACACTATAATAGCATGTTGACTGCAGGTACATGAAAATATGTAAATAATCTTTATACTTCAGCACACACAAACAATAGACTATTTTCTAAAATAACTTTTCTACAGGAAAACAAAGACTTAAATGGCTTGTGTGGGTAAAGAAGGTAGAGTGCAAAGACGTTAAGGGATAATTTCTGTATTTAAATTTAATTAATTAAAATTTTGATTATTAATTATTATTTTAATTTACATGAAAATATTTTCATGTAAATTGGTGTCAAATTAAATGACTTGTAGGTACAAAACATGTTTGGCCATGAAACAGGCTTCAACTTGCAGCTGCGAACCAACTGCACTGGCTGCAATATATTCCATCAGGTTAATTGTGCCTGTCAAAATTAAGTCCACAAAACGTGCTTCTTTTTGCCGTTGACAGGCTTAGACTGTTATGTAAGGAGTCTGACATCATAGAAAGAATCCATATGAGTGATTCCTGATGACACCCTTTGTTTAGTTTTTAACAAGAAACTAGTCTCAATTCTCGCTCCTGGAGAATTGGAGAGGCAAGTTGCTGCAGGAAGATGCCGTGTGGAAACGAACGAGCAAAGTTTGTTGTGTACATAGAGGAACTGCTACCAAGACTTTTTGCCCTAATGTTACTCCAACACAACAGACTCCTCTCTCCAACTCTGACGCACGTTTCCACCGTTGTCTTCCTGCAATTCGCCTCTCACGAGATTTCAGCAGATTTTTTGTTGGGTTTGTTTCTGCAGTGCAACTTTATTGTTTCTATTGTACATTGCTGTGTTTGTATGAACAAGGATCTGGAGCTTTGAACACCGACTTTTAGAAACATAACGTAACACTTCTTTTTTGTTGGACATTATTCAGTTGGCTTTTGAGGACATTTGACTTTACTGTTGGTGACTGCACATAACTCTTAATGAGAAATTAAATACAAAAAAGTTGTTTATACTTTCCGTGTCATCAGAGGGGTTACTTATGCGTCAAATCGATGGTGTAGCCTCTGTGTAGGGTTAAAATTGCACTTAACCCCCTACCCTACGCCGTAACCTACGGCAAAGCCTGACATGCACCTCCTCAAAAATGTAACTACACGTCGAAGCAATGCGGACCGTAAGCACTGTGATTGGTCGGCTGGGAAGCCTCGCAATGCCTCAGAGCCGACAGGAAGTGTCCCGCACTTTGAAGTAACTTTTACTAGCGGCCAAAACAGCGGCTGTAACACGGTGGATCAATACATTTGACTGTCACAACCTGAGCGGAATGACTCGTTTCACTATCAGAATGTGATCCAGTCGGTTGATAAAAGATAAAAAGGCTATACCAGCCGCACGTTTACAATTTTCCCCTCATTCACGTTAGCGGAGGGCTAAACCGGAAGTTAACCTGCTCGCCCAGCAAAAGTTAATACAGTGGACGCTATAGTGGTAGCGCCGACTAGCGTTTGGGGGTGTAATTGCAGAATGACGGACACACCGACGCACAAGTATAAATGCATACGTGCGTAGGCTACGGCGTAGCTACACACGTAGACCTTACGCAGGAGTATAAATCAAGCTTTATGCGTAGGCTCTGAGTGGACATCTGCGTGCCTCCCATTGTTTGTAATCCTGCCGACTTGTTCCACTATGCTACAAGGGCAACAAACAAAGTACTGCGCATGTGTGGAACAAGTCCACCAAGCTGACTCCAGAAAGTAGTATAAATAAACGTAGTCCATGTCCACGAATATGCGAAGTACGGCTAGGGTCTGTGTTACAAAAAAATCGTCATCAGAGGCTGTACGCACAGGATCTGTGCAGATATCCGCATGCCTCCCGATTTTTTCGCTGACATAAGGTACTATAAACAGAAGTAGTCCTCATCCGTGGTGTCCGCAGATGTTTAATAATGATCGTGGTTACAAGAATGGGAGGATTTTCTGGCCTTAACACAGCACAATACGGAAAACTCTGTTTAGTGAGCACCTAATAAGGAGGACTACATTATCTCTGTTAAAGTTTTAGCTCTGCATGTTAAACCACTATATGAAACCATGTACTGCACGTTATTGAGGCAATTAAGTAGGGCTAGTTCACAGTGGTGGCTCCTGCCAAATCTCTCAGGGGGTCAATTGTTGCGATGATGGCTAAGGTGACCAATTCAATGGTCCAAGTCTGCTATAAGACAAGGATTGTTCCTTAGGCTACATACTGAAGTTCATTGTCAATATCTACAATGAATGAACTGTTCTCAGTTAAGATCAACAGATCTTTAGACCTTTGGATGTAAAGGCAACTACTGTACTTTAGCATTAATGAAAAAAAGGATGACTCACAATCATCTGATTTATCTGTGACAAACCTTTTATTTAGGAACAACAAATCAAGAATAAAGCGCAGTATTTACACATAAACAACAAGGCATGTAAGGGGAAATATAAAAGGTATATTCTATTGTTTTTGGTTTATTTTCTGTATTGCTTTCCTACTTATAATAATAATAATAATAATAATATTTATTTGTAGAGCACTTTTCAAAAACAAATTACAAAGTGCTTTAACAAGTGTAAAGACAATAATACAAAAACAATACAAGATAAAACCAAGAAAACATTGAAAAAACACATTTAAGATAAATATAAAATAAAGTAAAATTGAATAAAATAAAAGGGATAAAATAAAGTAAAATAAAATCGGGAAAGGTTCTCCTATAAAAGTATGTTTTAAGAAGGGACTTAAAAGAGTTCACTGACTCAGCCGACCTGATTTCCTCGGCCAGGCTGTTCCAGAGCCTCGGGGCCCTGACAGCGAACGTGCTGCCCCCTTTAGTTTTCAGTCGAGACTCTGGAACAGACAACAGACCTCTGCCCGAGGATCTCAAGGTACGTGCTGGTGTGTATGGGACTAAAAGGTCAGAAATTTAACAAGGTGAGAGGCCATGAAGAGCTTTAAAAGTGATCAATATAATTCAAAACTCAATTCTAAAACATACTGGGAGCCAATGTAATGAAGCTAAAACAGGGGTGATGTGGTCATATTTCTTTGTTCTGGACGGTCTAAATAAAAGATATATAAAAAATGTAACGTAAAAGTGTGGATTAAAACTGAATAAGAGTCAGGTTTAAGACGGAGCTTCCAACAGCTAGCTACTTCTCCTTCTTCTTTTTACCATCCTCTGACAAGATGCCAGTGATGGCCATGCCACCTCCTCTTTCTTCTTCGGTTTCTGGCAATAAAAGAAAAAAACAACACATCAAATAATTGTTGCAGGTTAAGTGCAGCTAACTTTAAATTGACTCACCAACACATATAAAACATGGCTTAATAACAATCACATTTAGCATAATCATAAAATTTGGCTTAATAATAACTATCAAGATTATTAGTTTAGCCTATGGCATTTTACTGAGCATAAATTAGCCTAGTGGCTAGCGGACTTTTCCTCTCCTCATAGCTTAACAAATTACATGTATTATTTAAACTGTCTTACTCCCTGCTGTTAAAGTCGCTGCATCTCCCGACACCACGGTTGAATTTTCAGCCTGAACGTTCGTTTTGTACAGAAACTGGTTGTAGTGAGAGCAACAAGCTGGAGGACTGCCGATTCCTTTTCAGGTAGCAGAAGTGTAGCTCTGCTGCTGGGCTCATGATGTAAACACGTTAGTGTGAGCCATCCCAGAACCCATATAGATTGCATTGCAACGGCCGCAGATTGAAAAAACTGCCTTTACATGATATGAGAGAGATCTGGGCGATATTCAGAGCCTAACTGTCTGTCAAAAACAGTCACAGCTAATTACTAGTGTGGTAGAAAGTGGTAGAAAAATATCCCCTGCCTTTGCCGCCATGGCGGTGTGTCCCAGTTGCCCTAATGAACAAGCTCCCCTGCTAGTTCGTCAAGGTTTTCAGACAGTAACGTTAAACAGGATGGTGTATCGGTCAGGACACAGGAATGAAGACGAGGAGATTTAATTTCTTCCTTTAACTGTATTGAGCTCCAGCAGTACTCATCAGAACATTCCAATATCCAGCAAAAAAACATTGCTATGCCCCTTTAAACATAAATCTACAATTACATAAATGAGGATATTACTCTTTGGAAATATAAGGAGCCTCACATATCTAACTAACCAGTTTACATCATAGACTGCATTAAAAGGGGTTTACATAAGGAGGAATGGCGACACCCTCTGGCTAGCCGAGGCTACTACAGAACATAGACTGTATATAAAAATGGACGCAGCGTCCGTGGCGTCACCCATTGGTTTCTGAAGAGCTGTTATGAAGCTCAAAATTAGTGGAGTTGGCCGGCGCCATCTTGGCAGCGCGTCACAGCGCGTCACTCCCAGATAACCAAAAATGGGCAAAGAGGCGGGTCGTAGGTGGAGCTGAGATGACTTTTTGCTGAAACCACTCCCGCCTGGCTCGACGTGACCGAGTTAGCTCATGCTAAGGAGCTAATGCTACATGCTACTCTGCGGTGCTGTACGGTGGAGGTTGGAACCTGCGGCTGTGTTGATACCAGTTTACCGACATTACCAGCTACAGTCAAGGTAAGACCGGAGAATATTAAAATAACTCACATATCTGTTATTGACATTATACTTCACAAGGTTTTAAATGATTTTTAATATATAAATGTGGTAACGTTATTTTGCAACACTAAAGTTGGATTTTGTTGAGACCGACGTTAACAGTTAACTATGAATCAGTTATTAATTATCTTAAGTTTACTTAACGTTAATGTTACAACTCAAACGATCAATTTCAAGCAAATCAATTGACATACTGTTGGTTACGAGCGGTTACGAGTCGTTTATTTGGACGTCACCTCAGTATGTTACTTGTAATAAACGTAATAAGCTAGTGGTAGAGTCCTCAGTTACATGATGGAAGCTATATATCTTGTAAAACGTTAGCCATGGCTGCTATCACGTTAATTAATTCCCCACACCGCTATTTTGAGTAACGTTGCTGCTG